GTATGGTTCACAGGAGGATGCATAAATCTTCAACAGATCGAATCAAATCAGAATATGTTAAAAAATGAAGCATCAAAAAGAGAATTAATGGATATGCAAACCAACCTGATGCTCATTACTCCTGACACAAGACAAAATAATATAATCCTTTTCCCTCCCTTGAAATGAATCAACACTTGCAACCTGAACATAGCAAATACTCACAGTAAGTATTAAGAATCCAAGAAAAGCATAAAGCTCATCTATTTAATGCCTACCTCAATTTCCTTGTAAAGTTGTTGTCTCAAGGAACCATTTCTTGCCATGTAATTTACAATGTAAGCTCGTTGACCCTCATATGGTGTTATGACCCCAATCTGTGAATATAAAATAATTACATCCTCGCCACAAAAAGAAGGTGTTCAACCTTAAAGATGCATATAAGAATTTACCTGACTAGGGACTACACCACTCTTTAGAAATGTAGTCACAATCTTCTCCACATTTGCAGCTTCAGTTCTATTCAGATAGGAAGTTCCACTAGCACTGATCTCCTCTTGTCCCATCTATAGATGAATTACCAAGTATTCAAATTTGAATATATCAGTAAACCAGGAAAAAATTCCTATAAACTATATAGGAGAAACAATCTTTACTATATCCATAACCATCACAATAACATCCCAAAACGAAAATGACAGATTTTTCCACAACTCAAAAAACGAAAAACAAAGAAGAATCAGCTAACATAATCTGATAATACCTGAACATAGAAGAACATGGGACGGTTGGGCACAGGCCAAGGGAAATCAATGCCTGTTGATTGCCTTTCATTGATGGTTACACCATTTTGGAGTGTACCTTCATAAAAGCTATTTGATGGAAACTCAGATAATGCAGGATGCATACGGTATTGTACCTGGAATTGCAAACAAATAGACAGCATAATCAAGATTAGTAATGGAATAGAAGAATTCTGATGCTTTACAGACTTAAGAAATAGCCAAATAAAGATAAACAGTACTCTGAAAGAGGAAGTGACCAGGCAACTCTACGTCCAAGGAAACAAAACGAAAAAAAAAAAAAATACGAGCAAGAGGGGATTAACAATTATTGCTTGGCAAGCAAATAAAAGCAGCTAGAATGAGAAGCTTAGAAACTCAAAACAGCTCAGATAGATAATGACATAACCGAACACCACAATGCTACATGAAGCATAGAAAAATCAGAAAACCCTAGCATGATTCTTGCAGCTCCGCCCAAATAAAAGGTATGGGGAAGTGGTAGATTATTGAAGAAGAGTTAAAATACCAGGAACATCTTACTCCACCCCCCACCCCCACCCCGCCCCAAAATGTGAAGCAGACTCCTCAAGTCTTCATAGATGACTAAAGAGCACTCCCAATCACTATGCCAACTATATGAGAAACAAGAGAATAACTGAAAAAAGAGAATCTTATATTTAACTTCAGCCACTACCAACCCCGATGAAATGTTAACACATCAACAGACAGGCAATCACCTGTAACCTAATTGGCTTCACTCCTAGAAACACAAGGCGCTCAAATAGAGATTGAGCAAGTCCAGCACGGGCCGCTTTCTTGCACATAATGACTGGTCCAAGCTGGCAATGATCTCCGACAAGAACAGCCTAGCACAAAACTCACAGTAAGACCCAACATCGTACTATATTTCAGTATGACATTTTTTCATAAATGAATTTCAACATGACATTAATTGTAATAGTGACCTGCTTTGCGCCAAGAACCAAAGGAATAAGACATTCAGGCTCAGTAGCCTGAGTGGATTCATCAATAAGCACCTACCAAGAGGTTTAACACAACAGAAATGTTAAAATCAGCAAGAATCCAGAATGAGTACATAAGAACGAAAATAAGAAAGTGAAAATCTAAAATACTTGGGAAATCCTCAAAATCTTCAGTAATAAGGTGAACCAACCTGGCGGAATCTGAAGTTAGCCAATCTAGGGTCTCCAGCACCAACGCATGTGCAACAAATTACATCAGCACTCTGAGCTATTTCCCTCTCTGTTGCCCGCTTCAAAGCTTTATACTTCTTCTCATCACTGCTGGAGAGTTCTCCTGAAAGTTCATTAACCAAATGACTCTGAATCACGTGCACATATTTAGAATGCTCTAATAAAGGATATATATAATGAGAAAGAGGGAAAAAAACCGAGCACTACGCTAAAAGTATCACCATGTAAATGCTAAATCCCCCCAATATATATGAGGCCAAAGAGAATCCAGGAAAGAAACACAAACCTTGTTCATCCTTCAGTTGCTGTAACTTGTACAGTTCACTCTTCTCAGACGTGTCAAGATGGCGAACCTGTATAAACAAAAGTTTGCAAGATATCACTAAAAATGGAACGCTAGTGAAGGGTTAAATATATATATATATATATA